TTATTTAAAATTCTTATGTAAGAAGATAAGAGAGAGAGAGCTAAGGGTTTCCATTGAAGCATAGGACTTATATATTTAGTATATATTTATTAAAAATTCTATATATGTACTTGATCACACTGAAATTCGGTATGATTGTTAAGCTGCTAACGCTCTCCAGCAGCTACTATGTGTATCTATATATACCTGTATTTATATACAACAATTTTAACAGTCTATCAGATATCTCCCTATGTGTTCCTTCTCCTACTTTCCTACACAAACGAACATCTACCTACACTCATTTCATAAAGCGTTAGCTGATGAGAAGTCAACAATCCTTTGCACTCACCTGTTATCACGCGGGTGCAGTTAATGTTCTTTGGATATAGATTGGGATACTCGGGGCTGTAGAGCTCGTTCTTGGTGGGATCGCCCTCTACGAAGAGCCGGCAGCGATCCACTTGATCCTCCTCCGCCTGTCGCCGGTAGCGATCCGCTCTGGTGGTTGTGGTTGCTGTTGAGATGGTCAGCGCGTGCTCCTCCTCGATGTAGGGGCTTGTGGGCGTGGCAAGTGTGGTGGTGCTGCTGTTGCTGATGGCGGTGGTGGTGTTGCTGGATTTTATTGTCAGCGATTTCGTTGGCGCTTCTGTGTTGGCTATCAGAGGAGAGAGTGAAAGAGAGAGAGAGAGAGAGAAAGTTTGTGTGTGAGCCAGAAAATGGAATACAAGGCTTAGAGTGGGCGAGGATTTATCAATGCACGCACATCCGCATATTTCAACATAACATTTACGGGTTATATTATCATAAAAATAATCGTGCGCATTAAAATTTATGCGAGCGTCGCGTTGGTTTCACTTCTTCTCTTGCATTTTTGTTTTCTCCTTCTCTTTTTCATTTTATTTTTCTTTTTTTTTATTAATATGCGCATAACTTTTGCTGCTGCTGCTGTGAATAAATCAACTTTTCACTGCACTTTTTTGCATCAGCTGCAAACTTTACGCACTTGTTACGGTAAACAGGAATTACTGCACCGCCCAAACTAACACCACCACCCACCCAACCAGCCGCCCATGCATCGCCCCAAAAAGTAGGCAATGCACAAGTTTCTCTCATATATACATATATTTTTTTGCAGTTTTAAAGCCTGAACGCTTTCAATTCGCAACTCGGAGTCGTAGTCGTAGTGCACTCATATAAGTCTATTTGAACTGGCGACGCAAGCAGCAACGGTGGCGGCAGAGGCAGCGGTAGTGGCAGCAGTTAGTGTGCAGCTGCAACGCAACAGTAACTGCGTCTAAACAACAATCGTTAAGCCTATGTAAAGTGGCCCAAAGCACATTCATGCCAGTTACAGCAAGTGTGCATATGTATTGGTTGATGTGTGTGTGTGTGTCTACGAGGATGTGTGTGTGTGTGTGTGTGTGTGCGTGTGTTCCTGGAGCACTTTTTGCTGGGGCATTGCCATTTGCTAAACAAGTTAAGCTCATAGGGCCAAGACGACTTTCAGATGCTCTAGTAAGCTAACAAGCTATATAGTGTAACATATTAATTAATGAAAGTATAGAAGCCAATTACGAATTTTAAATTTTTCAATGCTAATCAAATTTTAATGAATAGAAACTCTTAGATATTTCCTAAATTATAATATATTTGCCTATATGTATAGATTTTCTTTTCTTTTTATCAAATTTTTTATCAAGCGAATAGAAAATCTTAGCTTTTGTATGTATATTTCTAAACTATAGTTGCCCATATACATTTTTAATAATAATAATAATTAAATTATGAATTTCTATCATATATAAAAGTACTAAT